AAAAACAACAGCAGCAGCAGCAGCAGCAGCAGCAGCAGCAGCAGCTGCTGCTGCTGCTGCTGCTGCTGCTGCTGTATTTCTTACATCAACTATCTCTGGCCGCAGGTGGAATTCCTCATAGGTCCGCGAGCAGATCAGGTAGTGCACTGTCAGGGGCGAAGAGCTGCCTGAGCAGCAGCAGCAGCAGCAGCAGCAGCAGCAGCAGCAGCAGCAGGAGTTGCAGCAGTAGCAACAGCAACGGTTGTAGCAACAGTAGCAGCAGCAAGAGTTGCAGCAGCAGCAGCAGCAGCAGCAGCAGCAGCAGTATCCCCTCAAAGACAGCCGCATCGCATTCGCAATACAATCCGTTAATTGCTGTAGGCAACAGCAGCAGCAGCAGCAGCAGCAGCAGCAGCAGCAGCAGCAGCAGCAAGAGACACACCAACAGACATGAGCCGCTGCTCAACAGCATTGACGAGAGCAGCACAGCCCTGCGGCAGAGGAGGAGACAGGAGACACTTCGCAGCTGTCTCCTCTGCTGCTGCTGCTGCTGCTGCTGCTGTTGCTGCTGCTGTTCCTGCTGCTGCTGCTGCTGCTGCTGCAGACAGACGCTTGCTGCTGAGAGGCGGCGCCAGCCACACGACTTGCTGCAGCCCCAAAAATGCATGCGGCGGCAGCTGCAGCAGCAGCTCCATGTCTTCTATCAGCAACACCTACAAAAAAAATAAAAATATAATATTTATGTTTATATTTATTATTTATATTTATATATATTTATATTTATATCTTTATAAACATAAATATATAAATATAATAAAATAAATATACAAGGAAATGCATATTAAATAAAAATATACTCAAAATGTAAAAAGAAAATAAAAAAGAAAAAAAAAAAAATTCAGAAAAAAGCATAAATGAGCAGCAGACACTCAGGAACAACATAACAGCAGCTGCTGCTGCTGCTGCTGTTGCTGCTGCTGTTGCTGCTGCTGCTTTTGTTGTTGCTGCTCCAGCAGCTCATGCAGCATGCAGCATGCAGCAGCAAGATGCAGCAGTAATCCCCATCTGCAGCAGCCAGAGACTGCAGCAGCAGCAACAGCAGCAGCAGCAGGAAACAGCAGCAGCAGCAGCAGGAAACAGCAGCAGCAGCAGCAGCACTAACAGCAGCAGCAGCAGTACTAACAGTAGTAGCAGCTGCAGCAGCACTAACAGCAACACCAGCACGCAAAAGCAGCAGCAGCACT